GCACTAAATATTCGGTGGAAGCATCTGTTGAAATTTTTTATGGATATGAATTGATTTTAATGTTTTGATTATTTAAGGTTACAAAACATCTGCCATCTTCGAAGTGAATTACAGTCATTCCAAAACTAACTTGACCATCGAATATTAACTTACTTGTAGAAACCAGAAAGCCGCATTCATTTTTAATCATTTCAACTGTGAACAAGGCGTTCAGTTCCCTTAATTAGCAATTTCTACGTTCCTCTGGTTCACACAACCTAACTTGATATGAATGCGATAGAAAAAGAAGAAAACAAAAGCAAGGTGTCGATTAAATTCCATTTCTACATTCCACGATATCGATCGTTTCACCAATTTTCATTTTAAGTGGATTTACTCTTACATCTTGAGAATGAAAGCGATGGCATCAGTCATCAATATATGTTGTGTATATGATACAAATTTTTTTCTATGTTTTTCCAAGAAATATAATCCCATTCAGTGTCAGTAGTTTCTCAAAAAATAAGTTATTTGCTATGTTAATCCACTTCTCTTTTTCTTCCTTTGTGTAAAGTCTAATAGACTTTGTAAATGGAAAAGATTATTTTTATATTTTATTGCTTTACTTACAATGTTGTGGCTTTTTTATGCTGTGTCATCATATAAATTTCTTTATATTATAATGCTCCATAAATAATCCATTGTTTGTGAGAACTTCATATAAAAGTGAATGAGTCGGACATCTATTCAAAAAGAATATCTAGAGTAATAAATTTTTGGAGAGAGTGATTAGTACGTAATGTAAGATTTTGTGAGCTTTGAACTTAATGAATGGATTTTTCTGGTCAAAGCACGTTGTAGTTTTAAAGAAATAGTTTTTCTAAACGCACTTTTGATGCAAAAATTTCACTGAACGCACTCGAGATGCAGAAGATTTCATCAACCTTTACTCATCCAATATTCCTTCATTTTTCACTCATTTCATTAGTAAGGAAGAAAAATACACGAATTCATATAAAAAGTATGATGATGATGATGATAATTACACACAAACACTTGGCCAATAGCTTAAAACTCTCATTTTTTGCAAAGAATTTCATTTATGTACTTATACATTGTATCATTAAGTAAAGTAAAAGAAATGTGAAATGATTCGAGCGAGATAAATTGCTTAAAGTGCGTCATCATTCTTTTTGAGCTTTCTTCATTCGCCAGTTGAGTTGAATGATTAATGGATTGAATCTCACTACACTTCCCGCTTTACATTGTTGCGCTTTAATTTCGCAATATGATGATAATAATAATAACAATAGTATGAAAAAAGAACAGGAAACGATTGACCAAAAATGGAATGGACCAAACAAGAAAGAAGTAAAGAGATAGATAGAGGAATTCAATTTGCGAACAATTGATATGTTAAGCAAATTGAAATTGAAAGGCTTTCTAAAAGCTGGAGATTTAAAATGTAAACATCAAGCTGGTTTTGAAGACTTTGTCGGACAGAATACTTTTTATGCTTCAATGTCTCACATAAGAAGTGTGTTTAGCAAAGAAATTTCGCAACTTAAGTGCGTTTAGTAAAAAATTTCGCATCTTAATTGCGTTTAGTAAATAACTTTGCATCAAAAGTGCGTTTAGTATAAGTTCTGCATCAAAATGTGTACAGCAAACAAAAATACACACAGAACCCTTAAAAATTCACAATTTAATCAGAATCAACATATCTTAACACCAGCTTGTACCAAAAATGCGTGAAACATAAAATTAAAGGAATTTTTCCACCGATAAACGAATGCAATAAATCATATTTTTTTGGTGCAACGATGTCTTATGAATCTTTCATGATTAATGAGATAAATAGCCGTTATTATTGAGTATCCACGGGGTAAACAATATTAAAGCAAGCGTTTTAACAGCAACGCCCATGAAAATATTTTCTGTTTCATATTTAACCCTTTGACTCGTTTTATTCGTCTTGAATATTTCCAATACAAATTCATTTCTTATTCCTTAACTTTTAAAAATAAGAAAAATTTCGTTTTCAATCGATAAATCTGATTGAATGGTATGTAGGCTATTAAATGTATACATACATGTCAATTTCTATTCCAAATATTGATCATTTGAGTATATTTTTTGTATGTACGATAAAGATCTTAATTTCACTTACATGACATAAATATTGACTTGTCTGTCGGCGTTAACCACTCATTCTGTTTGGTTTTTGGTACATTTTCCTGGAAATTGAGCATTTGTGTGACTAGTTTGACTAGTTGACTGATAGATTTGTGATTTTATTTTTTCGTAGTCTTCAAAAGTGATCCACAAATCTGAATTTAAAGTTTTAGTGTCACCGAATGCGCCTTATTTTGTCATCTAGCTTTACATTGCCTTACTCTCCCCAAACTAGTATTTTTGATTTCATTAAATGTGACCACCATTTAAAAACAAAAATCTGTGGTTGTAGCTACTCAATGGAATAATGAAGTTAATGAATGAAAATGAGGCATGTTATATGAAATTCTTTTCTTTTTATTAAGCGTGGATGCATAGTCCACACTGAAAGTATGTCATGACTAAATGGCATCATCGATACCCCAAAACATTATAAATATTTAGAATAACTTATTGTCATATTATGCATCTATAATTAACATTGCTTGTTGTAGAGTGAAACTTTTTTATGCTGGCCCTATCATTCTATTATAATTCTTCTTTACCTCGTCTTTCTCTGTTGTCAGATGATAATCGAAGACAAATATTTTGTCATGCAACGATGTCACCTTATTTTTTTTTTTTTTGGTATTTTATACCTTACGTGCTATCAGCGTTGTATTTAAATTGTAGGTAATGTTATGCTCACATATATGTGTTATTGGAATGAGACTTCGACAAGCGATCTTTTATGTATGACACGAGAAAGAGAGAAAATCAAAATTATGAGTTAAAGAATGCATATTAATTTTTTTTTCTGTTGTATATAAAGGCAAACAATCGCGATGTTGAGATGTCATTAATTTAGCTCGAGATATCCATAAAAAATTTCATGGCTCTGCGATTTGAGAATGATCATCTTTAAGTGGTGATAAACATTAGTTAATGTCTTTTCGAGTTAATTAAATTTGAGGTTATTTTCAAGTTAATTATTTGCTTGAGAGTCATTCCTTAATTAAGAGCAAATTTACAGAAGAAACTTTATTGCTTTTGTTTTTTTATGGGGTTTTGGAAGTAATATAGGGACTTGCCGGCTTATTTGTTATGAATTTATTAATATAAATGCACTTTTCAAGTATTTTAAATTATAACGGAATTTAAATTTTTTAAATTCTGCCTCACATCTTCGCATCCATTGATGCAGAATGTTTTGTAAACAGCTTGTCACCAAAATGTCAAACAATCTTAAAATTAGCCGGCTCTCTTGAGCATCAACCAATTTTAACAGCTACAAGCTGTAAAGTACGTAATAACACAGCAATTCAATATGAAAATTATGTGAATTTAGAGGTTTATTAACGAAATTAAGCTGTGAAAAAAAGTTTCACTTTTAAAATACCGAAGCATAAAGTTAATTTAAGCCTTGCCAAAAGTGCTATAACTAAATTGAGCCTGCAAATTGGCTGTAAGATGTTAATCGCGCATGGATTTTTCAGATCTAAATGAATGTCCATTGTAATAATACAAGCAACATCACATTTCTCTTCAATCAAGCAAATATTTATGTCACTGACCTCATCTAACAAAGGCAATAAAAAAAAAATTAAAAATTTGCATGAAAGGTGTGAAAATGAAATGTTGACACTATACTTTACTGTACTTATGAAGACCAAAATGAAAGTCAAAAGAGGAAAAAGATTGCAATTCTTTTCGTATTTATTATTTAAATTCCACTTGATGCATATTTTCTCGCCTCTTTGCACGTGCTGTCATAAAACAAAAGTACATTTAAGAATGTGTGAAAACGACTAAAAGTAAATAGTAATAACAATGAAAATAGTAATAATAATTGTAGTTATGATGATGATGACATATCTCGATCTCCATAAGACGGTACTGTTTAATTTACACAGAATTTTAAGTGCACCAACTTTCCAATAATTCACGCAACTTTGTTGTCATCGAGTTCACTCGAGTACAGTCTCGAGACTACTTAATTGCACTGTTACATTGTGCATGCATTCCAAGGCATAACTTAAAAGTCAAACGGATGCTATATATTTTATCAACTCATACGGTTCAAATGAAAACATGTTTCTACATCTCATAAATGGCCACAGCAGACGGATTGCCGTTGATGAATTAATGAGAATGGAAATCTTTATGTAGAATATCAATGCATTTCTGTCCTATCCGTGCAGCTTTTTCTTCTTCCCTTTTTTGCGATCATAACATAAAAAGAAAACCATATGGCATGGAATTTATTGTTAGCGTACATCAGCACACTTTCTTATGCCACCATCATATCTAACTGAGTATCTGATCCGGTAGCGCATGATATGGCATATTATTATGATGTGGGAATTATTCAGAGTGATGGACAGTAATTTTTTTTTTCATTCATGGTAAACCAACTGATGAATTGCTACTGTCAGCATTCTTTTGATTCTGCAACTGACTGTTGAGATGCATCTCATAATTTGTGAATTCCGACTTTTTTAAACAAACAAATTTTTTTTGTGAATTTTTCCGGGGCGGTGAAAATCTGAAGCTGATTTCTCAAGGTGATAACGATTATGTTTGGTAGGATTTGTCCATTTTTGGAGCCATTGTTCGTCGTTGTCGACACTCATTTGAATGTTGAGAGAAATTGTTATTTTATGCAAAATAATCAGAATTATTATTGTTATTGTCTGAGACTGTCATAAAGAGAGAGAAAGAGAGAAGATCTTCTGCTATTGAATGTGATGAGATTGCCTTTATGTTGCTTATTTTTATGACTTTCTCATGATCTCAACGCGCGCATCGTTCTAGAAAAACTTTCTCTTACATGATTTTTTTTATTTATATAAATTTTCTTTTTACAGTATTCGATTGCAGACGATGTTGAAGTTGTCAAATCAGTTTCACCTGAAGATACCGAAAAGCGTGATGAAAATAATGATCAGGTGGCACTTGAGACTGTCGAGCAAGAGCAAAAAGTTCATCCACCGCCTGGACATGTTGTTCAAGTTCAAGGTGAAGAATTTTTTTTTCTCATTCTGTTTTGTACCTTTTTATCTACAATAATCTGAAATTCTTTTCATAGGCATTCCAAAACATATTGGAGTAGGTCAACCTTTTGGACACGGAACAGCACCACATATGGCTTATCATGGCCCTCCCCCGCCACCTCCATCTCATCCACAATTTTTACATCACGGACCAAAAAAAGGACCACTTCCTCCAAAAATTGGACTTGGTCCGATTTCACATAACATTCCACATGGTCCAGTCCTTCATCATAATCATGTAGCACCTCCACAGCAACAACAGCAGCAGCAACAACAACAACAACAGCAGCAGCATGCAGCCGCATCAGAAATTAGTGAGAAACTTTACGGAGCACCGTTAAATGGAAATGATTTATGGTCAGCTCCAGTTCCAGACATGGCAAAAATTGTATCCCTTGATGTTAAGTGTGAAAAACAAGGCATGAAAGTATTTGTTCAATTTGACAAGCCATTCTACGGTATTGTCTTCTCAAAGGGCCATTATAGCAATCCTAGTTGTGTTCATATTCCTGCAAACTTAGGACGTACATCAGCACAATTCGATATTGGTTTACATCAATGTGGAACAGCTGGAAATACTGAAAATGGAAATTATGGTTATGAATCAGGTTCGGGAAATTTCTTTGAAAATATTGTTGTCATTCAGTATGATCCACAAGTTCAAGAAGTATGGGATCAAGCACGTAAATTGCGTTGTACATGGCATGATCAATATGAAAAGAGTGTAACATTCCGTCCATTCCCTGTCGATATGCTTGATGTTGTTCGTGCTGATTTTGCTGGCGATAATGTTGGATGCTGGATGCAAATTCAAGTTGGTAAAGGTCCATGGGCTTCAGAAGTATCTGGATTAGTTAAAATCGGTCAAACAATGACAATGGTACTTGCTATTAAAGACGATGATGCCAAATTCGACATGTTGGTGAGAAACTGTATGGCACATGATGGAAAACGGGCTCCAATTCAACTTGTTGATCAACGTGGTTGTGTTACTAGACCTAAAATCATGAGCAAGTTTACAAAGATAAAGAATTTCGGAAATAGTGCATCAGTATTGTCATATGCTCACTTCCAAGCCTTTAAATTCCCTGATTCAATGGAAGTTCACTTCCAGTGTACAATTCAAATTTGCCGTTATCAATGTCCTGATCCATGCTCTGATCATAGCACAGGTGGTGCAGTTGAAGGTCATTTAAATGTCTCACCAGAATCTTCATATGGTCCACCACCACAACAACAAGCTCAAGGTCCTCACGATCATTATTTAAGCAGAAAACGTGATGAGCGTCGCCGTAAACAGCGTTCAACAGAACAAAATGAAGATGTAGGATTAAATAAAGTCATTCGTGTTGTGTCATCTGGAGATTTAACATTTGCCATTGCTGATCAATTTAATTCAACGAGTCAAGAAACAATGATCTTCCCAGCACGCGACGACGGGCTCATTTGCATGACAACGCCAGGCTTCACAATTACACTTGTAATTCTCCTCGGAATTCTTGTTGCATCGTGCCTTACGTCAGCCTTCCTTTGCATACGTACAAAGCCATTTTCATTATCAATGAAAGAGAAATCACTCGCAACATTCTCAGCAGCACTTCCTTCAGCTGCCGATATCGCAACAATTCAACAGCACAATAGCGTTCGTGTGACACCTAAGAAAAAAATTGTCGGACTTTATTCGTAAATGTTCTTACTTCCTAAAATTATTCTTAAAATTTAATTTATTTATTCAATTATTTTTAAAAACCTTCAAATAAGAAGCATAAAGAAATATTTTAAAGCTTTAGGAAAAGTTTCGTTTAAGACTTGAAATTTTAATTAATTTTAATTATTAATCCTCAATTATTTCATTTAATCTTAACATTTTGTAAACTTCCTAAAAACAACAAGAAATTCAAATTGATTTAAAAGAAAAATCTAAAATTTCACAATTCATTTTGTAAATTATTGAAATTTTATGGGTTGTAGAAAATTGATAACTGAATAGAAATAATGGATTAGAAACATTTTATTTGGAATTAAATTGAAATGAATGATTAGAAATGGTGGGAAAAAAATTGGTGTGAAATTGAAATTGTGTGAATGGAATCGATGTGATTTATGGTTTTCATCGGGGCTACTAAATTCAACACCTTGCTTATAAAGCTTAGCTATTGATGATTTTGCTTTTTTTTATTGACTGTGCGGTAGGTAGGCAGGCAAGTGAAATTTTAAAATATTTGCTTCTGACTTACATCACACTATGGATGCTGCATTCTTATTCCTAATGCATTAGAAATCTCAAAAATTAACAGCGTAAAATTCACACAAATTTCTCTCCATTACTTTAGGCAGATCAAACAAAGAAAACCTATAAACAGGACACAAGTTCTTAAATAATTTTTAATTTTGATCTCCCTGAATAATGAATTTGGTAATTGGTTAAAATTTTAGAAAACATTTTGTTGTCATGTCTAGTTAAGTCTATGTAGTTGAGCATAAAACTAGTAAGGAAGAAGCTATCCAATGTAGTAATGGAAAGCTTCAATTATCGGTGTTGTGGTGGGTAATTTATTTTTTAAAAAAAAGAATTAACTAAGTATCATTGTATATTATAGTACTTGACCTCTGAACGGCTAATTTATGTACCTTCCATTATACTCAAAATAATAATTGATTTTTGTATCTTGTAAGTGTGTCGAGGAACTTTTGCGATTTCTATGATGCGACTATCTTATTATTGATTGTTATTATGTTTTGTTTTAAATTTAAAATTGAAAATTGTTATTCCAAATTTATAAAAATTGTTAAAAATTCAAGACTTTATAAAGCGTTAAATTTTCAAAATTTTACAAATCGTGAAATATTTAAAACAATTTTACCAAACTTTTTTTGAATTTCAAATTTTATTATAAATCCCGTTACATTTCTAAAACTATTAAATTAAAATATTTCTAAAGTTTTTGTTCGACTTTCTATAAATTGGCACTTATTAAATTAATAAAAGCACCAATTTCAATTCATGAAGAAGAAAAAATATTTGATTGATTTATTTAATGAATCGTATGAAATTAAAGATTTTCTGGCACACTTGCAATTCCAAAAAAAAATAAAATCTTAATCTTAATTAACATAGTTTCTAATGCTTTATCGCATATATTTAATGAATATTATATAAAAGAAATATTCCAATTGTTATTATTAATAAATTATTATTGATAAAAGAAAAAAAAAATTGTTGAACATGCCACAACTAATAGTAGATCATGTACCACTTTACTTAATTTATTACTTTAATTTATCAAACTCACTTCACTTACTCACACAAGCATACATACAAACACACACAAAATTGCTCATTTATTCGCTTTAATGTTCAATTGAATGTAATTAAAAAATCCTCATTTGGTGCGTTAGTTTGGTTGAGTTTAGTAACAAAAAAAAAGATATTTAAAAAATGGAAATTGACCCGTAAATGATAGCTGCCAGTGGTAAATTACATTTAATGTTTGCTCGCATAATTAGGCACATTAAACATCTCAATCTAAACATTCCGATCATGAAAATGAAAGCATTAAGATTGATTGGTTTAATATTGGGCAGTGAAGCATTTAAAGGGCATTTTTAAAAATGTTGTACATGCTTACAATTTAACTCAATCGACTGATTATCAAATGAAATTCTCCTAATTTTTTATTTAATTTGCTACAAATTCCAAATAATTGACTATTTTTTTTGCAATCGACTTAAGTTTATTTAACTTTACAAAATAAACCGGGTAATTAACAATTTAGGTTTTTAAGTATTTTTAACTTTTAAGATCTTTATAACTTACTTATATTTATTATTTATTATCATTTCTATTAATTAAAATGATGATGTTTTGATGAATTAAACTCAAGCAACTGTAAACTTAAATTTTCTTATTCTCTCATCCACTTTGCTGTCTAATTTATTAATTAATGTGAGCATTTGCTTGAGTTTATGGTAGAGCTGTTAAGCAGGTAGAGAATGAAATGAGTGGAATCACATAATATATTAGAATGAAACCTAAAATGAAGATTTTTGAGTAGCTAGAAAGCTAATGTAGCTTGAAGTTGTATGTTTCCTTCAGCAGACTATTCACAGTGTCTATAATCTTAAAATCTAAAGAAAATTCCAATGGAAACCTGAACAAATAATCCTCAAGCCAACACTGCAGTTTGCAGATGCTAAAGTACCAGGAACTGGACCATATATTCTCATATTTTCGTATCAATCAGCTAAGAGATCTACTTCTTCGTCAAAAACTCATCATAATCTATAAGAAATAACTTCATTTTATTGAAATTAAACCTAATTAATAAATAAAAAAAAACTTAAACTAATAAAAAAATGAAAATTTTAAATTTAATCCTAATTGATATTTTCTTTGTAAAATCAGAAAAAATACTGAGTGTGAATCTTGTTACTTAAAATTAAAGAAACTTTTATTATAATTATTGTAATTGTAATAATAATTTGCTTAATTTTCATTTCTCATAATTATTTGAGAAATGGAAAGAATGCAAATTGAAAATTGTAATCTGAAATCAGAAAAAAAAACTTTTTTATATTTTTTTTTTCAAATAAAGTTAAATATTATTTTAAATGGAACTGATGATTGTGCTTAATTAAATAATGCAACGTGAAATTTTCTTGTTTTTCAGGGCAGTAAAGCAATTATTGTGGCTATCAAACTAGCTCATTGATGTCGTCTTTGAAGATTTTCTCTTTATAAATATTAGCTTTTTTTATAATCGTTGTAATCCAATCTGTAGCAATTATATTTTTGATACATAAGCTTGCATTGGATTCAATTAATGAACAAATTGACTGTGAAATTTGACCTTAATAAAATTGATTGGAAAATCATCAAAATAACTTGTTTCAGGAAAGCTTACAATATGAATGAGAAGCAGTTAATTGGCATGTAGTTGATAATTAGGCGGATAATCAATTTTTCAGTTAAACATAAGATTTAAAAACTGTAAAATAAATATTAAAAAAGTCTTAATTTTTTGGTTTTTGTCATTTTTATATTTTCATTCTTTATTGAATCTTCTTTTTCTTTTAAATTATTTTTCACTTATTTATAAAAATATTTCAATTACAGTAGATTTAAAAGATGAAGAAAAACTGTTCAAAAATTGGCAGTGGCATGCAATTGACAAACGATGACTCATAACATCTCCTCAAAAGGAGGTCATTTTTGCAGAAAAAGAAATAAAATCTCAACGAACTCAGCCATTACGACTTAATAAAAGCCACATATGAGGAGAAATAAATTATGGAACAATAACTTATTTAAATGATAGCTTTAAAGTAGCCATAAGTAGCAATGGTTGTTTGGTTACTAGAACAATATATCATATTCAATTTGAACAGATTCGCCACAATGGAAATGGATAATTGAAAGTTTTAACTCATAAACAATAAAGGCAGATTATGATTAACGATAATAATTATCATAAAAATAAATTAAGAAAGATACAGGAAGAAAAGAAATTTTTCATTTTTTGTTCCTTTTCTTCCCGTTTTGAATTTTTTTAATTTCTCAGTTGTTCGAAAAATTAATTTGAGTCTGCATCACTTAGTGTGCAGCACATTTAATTTTTTTTTTATATTTATATTTTTGCTAATGTAAATTTTAATTACGTTGATTAATTATTCGAACAAATGTAAAATTTTTCTTTTATAAATCGAACAAAAAATTATATTAATATGAACATAACACGATAAGTAAGGGGTAGAGTATAAGTAAAAGATGATAAATAAACAAATATTTAACATAATAATGTTAGTACAGTGAGGTCTTAAATGTTGGTGCATTAATGAATTTTGTGAAAAAGTTCATAAATTTAGAACGATTTTGAAATATTTTAAATTTTCTCGCCATATTTTGAATTTTGAAAATCTCAAATTATTCTCCTTAAAAACAATATCAGCATCTAAATTTTACATAAAACTCTTTGCTCACATACGTTTTACCTTAATCAACTATTAAAACTTTATATTACTATCAAATTAAGTCAGAAATCAGCAACAAAATCTTCAGGTGAGAACTGTAAACAAAAAGTTCAAAACTTCAGTTGCCAAAAAATTTAAATTTCAAAAATCCGTTACAACAAAAATTTCACAAAAAACTCATTCAGCATCTTAAAGACTTCACTGTAAATGGAAGAACTGCAGAATATCGTTAAATTAATTCTCCAGCACAGCCTCACATGTGCGGGCCGCTGCTTGAAAAATTAATGAAATTTCTTTCTTCTTATCAAAAAATTGAAAAAATAAAATATATTAATTAATTAAAAGTTTATAATAAATTATTGCACAAAAAATACAAAAATTTCCTCAATTTACGTTCAGCTCATGACTTATTCGATTCTTGTTTAAACAACTCTCACAAAGCAGAAAAGACCGCCTTGTCATTTCCTGCTTCATGCACATCATATTTATAACTTATTTGGTAGGTAATTCTCAATAAATTAATTTTTTTCTCTCTTCATTCAGTAAACAAAAAAAAATTAACTATAACTTAGTTATGTTCATTGTCGTGTTTCCATATGTCTTGAGCTACTTGATGTCGAGGGAATAGGTTCACTTTGAGGATGCATTTCAGGTGGATGTTTCATTCTAAAAAGCCTCATTGTCATCCAATTTGTGATTGTATTCATTCCATGAAGTGGCGATGAATGTGCCTGAGCTATTTGTTCATCTTTATGCAGCTGATATCGATAAAATAAGGAACCAGCGATAAGAGATGCAATAATTGTTGCAGATATGACAAGAATAAAGATTATGCTGAAGCCTTGGACAGGCATGCAAATTCCATACACAACTTCCTCAGTTATTTTACCTTGGAATACTGTGACTGCCTCTTGCTTGCCATCTGGAGTAAATTGCATATCAGCTTCTGATATTACATCATAGAAGCCATTAACACCAACATCTGCACTTCTTGCATTTCTGTTTGTGACTTTGACTGATCGTTTCGTACGTTTTGGGAATGAATGTTGATGTTCCTTCTCTAATTGATCTAAGTCTAATGCACGTGGTCCAGCAATTGGTAAACCTAATCTATTTTGAGCATATTGAAGCTGTCTAGGTCCATGTGGGAATTTCTCATCGTCCGTTTTTGATTGAAGTTTCTGTTGTTGTTGTTGTTGTTGTTGTGGCTGTGGTTGAGGTACAGATTGTGGATAATTTTGACGTGGCTTTGGTGGTAATGATGAAGGTGATTGATGTTGTGGAGCATAGCTTGGTTTCAATGGCTTATTATTTAAGAATAATGACTCAATATCTTCCATATCACTCTCCATGTCATGTTGATGGACTGGCGCTGGTGGAATATCCTTTGGTCGATGAATTATGTCATCATAGAAAATATCATGTCCATTACTGTCATCTTCGTCATCATTAATTGCATTTTCTTGTTGTTCATTTTCTGTTGCTTCAATTAGTGTATCTTTTCGGTCCAATAAACCATCATGTTTTCCACCACTTGCCTGACAATGATCAAGACATCCATGTCGACAAATTTCTACTTTACATTTTATATGAACACTAAGTGCATCGGGGAATTTGAAGGCATGGAAGAATGCATAAGTAATAACAGTTGCACGCTCATCTGGCGCTCTAGCTTTGAGGAATTTTGAGATCATTTTCGGCCTTAAGACACATCCATATTCATCTGAGAGTTTAATGACATGACCAGCTCCGTCAGATGCAGCACATGATTTCACGCGCATATCGAATTCTCCTAAAAATGGAATAAAATTAGCAAAAATTTCTTTAAAATTTATAAAAGTTTCTTTTCGGAACCTTTGAAGTCATTGATTGCGACCACAAGCGTCAATGTTGAACCAAGTGGAACAATTCCGCTTACAGGTGGTGCCCATGGCCCCTTTCCATGCTGTATTTCCATCCAACAATCAACATTATCACCTACAATGTATCAAATAAAATTTATTTGCTATAGAAATTATTATTTTTTTTTTATGATTTCTCTCTTCCATTACCTCTAAAGTCCAGCTGAATAACGTCAAGATCGGCAATAACCATCGGCGGCTTTGAAGCTGTTTTTTCATAATCATTGAACCATTCACAACGTAATCTTTTCGCCTCGTCCCAAACTTCGAGTAAATCTTTGTCATATTGAATTACAACCTGTTATAAAGATATTGAGAATGAGCATGTTACAATGTTGCAAAAATGGAATGTTTAAAGGTTGAAAAGTAAGTGAGAAGTGTGAAGATTATTGAGGGTTGAATTGATTCAACGCATTTTTAGAATTGTTTACTGACAGAGGAATTAAGTAGATAAGAAGAATTCGGAGACCCCTTCTATTCATCCAGTATTTCATTACAAACCTAGTATCTGACAAATTCATCAACCGGAACTGGCATATTTAATATTTTCAACTATTTCCTATCGAGAGCACTGCAAGCATTTTATGGCATGCAGTCACTGCTGACATGTTTTCAGAAACAAAGAGAAGTACAGCTATTGACAAATGTAGAGCACTTCCTCTAGTGGAACAACAGTGAAGTTTGCAGTGACAGCAGGTAATCTTAATAATACTAGCCAGATGGTGCCTGCAATTGCTGGCAAGAATGACAGCTCTGAATTCTCAGCATGCAAATTCAAGTAGCAGCTGGAAATTTTTGCATCGAGATGCCGGATAAGCCATATAAAAAGATCATCTATGCCTACATTATTCATTTAATCAATCGACTAACAGGACAAAGTGAATTAACAGCATGAGCATCACATATAAATACTTGCAGAACTAGGCAAGACAAAGGTGAAAAGAATTTAATCGAAGAAATAATAAATAAATAAGAGATAAAATTTATATTCGCAGATTTCCAACTCACCGTGTTCTCATAAAATTGTCCATTCAAGTCAGGCTTTGTACCGCAACGTGAATAAGAAATGCGGAATGAGAAGAATGTCTTTCCTGATGATGGTGGCACATAGATGCAGCGAGGATCACTATGTTGATTCTTCGAACTCACAATTCCTTCAAACGGATGTGAAAATGTCAGATGAACATCCATGTGATCTTTTGCACACATCACTTCTAATGAGACTATATTTGGCATTCCATTCGGCCTTTCAGATGGCCATAATTCGTTCCCTGCTGAAACTAAACTTAACTAGAATGAGACAAAAGAGAGAGAAAAAAAAATGTTTAAAATATTTTTGATTTGCCATACATTATATTAAATATATATGTACATAAGTAGTTATAGAAAGAAATGAGGAACAAGTTAATGGAAAAGAATTGATCGATTGTGCCATTAAACTAATTTTCTCCAACATCAATTTCATCTCGTTGTTCTTTTTTATTGTTGTTGTGTTGTGTGAATGAAAATGAAGATTTATTTCATCAAATCAATAAAACATAACGTAAATAATTAAATGAGATCAGCTTTAAGTACGGGCTTTTAATTTTTTAAATATTATTCATAGCTTTCATATTTTCGTCTTAATTGCTGGTAATTAGTTTTTCTTCTTTTCTTTTAATTTTATAATAAAAATTGTATGCTTTAAATTTATTCTTCTCCTTTTGGAGTAATACATGTTGTTGTTGAGGCTTGCTGAGTAGCTAAATGTGTGGGAAATTTTGATCTTTTGATGTCTTCAGTTGGAATTCAATTTATGATATGTTTGGGAGTTGACTTATTAATTAATAGGTTGTGGTTTAATGACAACATATTTTGAAGCATTAATCCTCTCTTTAACCCCTTCCCTGTCTATGACTAGCAGCTGAGCAGTCTTGCAATGATGTGCCATTCATAAACTTACCTTTTAATACTTTCTTGTTTACATTAAGGAATAAATGAATAAAAATTTTCTAGTAAATGAATCGCACTCGGATTACAAGCCAGATGATAAATTGTGTGAATAAAATTGATATAATAGAAAAATTAATTCTTTAATGCCTGTCTTTAATGTCTTAAAAGGGATTAGTGTTTCTAATAAACATGCAAATTTTTCTATTAAGTTTTCTAAATGTTTATCCATTATTGCAATCAACGGTTAAAACAGGAGATTATAAATTGATCGATTAATGAGCGTATTTGTAATCCACAATTTAGACATGGAGAAGATTGTTTGAAGTTAATGAAAGGAGGAAATTATGTTGAACATTTGTTTTGGAAAGGAAATTGCAAAAAAACTTTACAGACTCGAATTCTATTGCAGAAACATCAATAATAAGTTCATTTTTTATCTAGTAAACAACTTTAACTAATCTTGTAAAATTTTCCGACATTTTTATGTTTGCTCACTTAAGTTTTGTTATTTCCAATAGTTTAAACTTCATTCAAATGCCAAATTGAGTAAAAATTCAAAAGTAAACATTCGAAGTGGAAAAATATCAAAAGTTTGGTAATTTAACGATTCAAATCCTTAAAAATCCACCAAATCAAAAACAAAGTATTAAGCCGCTTAACAATTACCCTTTCAATCCATTCTAAAAGTATCAACAAATCCATTTTATTTTCACTTGAATTATCTAAAATACATAAAAAAAAGTTCAAGTAAAAGTAGAATTTCAATTCGCAAAGCTCAAGTCTATAATTTTCTCAAATCCCATTATATTAATAACAATGGGTGTTGTAAATAATACTAAAGTAAGCAAAACTCTAATTTTAATTCCATATTTACTATCACCTCACATGCAATTAATCATTTAATAAATTCATAATTCAAGTGATCAGATAATTCTTTATCAGATTGTTTACGGTAGATCATATTGAAGAACAATGAGCATAAAGCTCAAATATGATTAATTTAACAAACACAGCATAAACAAAGTTATAAAAAGAAGAAGCTAGTAAAGAAATGAAAAGCAACAGACCGAATCTCTTTTAGTATTTTGCATTGTTTTTGGTCAAATGCTTAGACCTTTTTTTATATTCTGTTGTTTATTAGCGTGGAAGCAGCGGGAAGTAATCATGGAAAATCAATTTACAGAAATTCTTTTAAAGCCTTATTTGTGCAAATAATAAGAAACATTTGTCTTGTCATTCATGCTTTTTAAGTTATTGAGAATGGCAAATTATTGATTCGATGATTTGTGTGGATGAAAGGTAAGTAGGTTAAGTGTTAATGTGATTTTGTCATTGCTACTTGAGACAATTGGGTATGGTCTGCTTAAGTTTTTGGTATTATTGAATTAAAGTCCATCGATTTTCAAGTCTAAGAAACTAGCTACAGTGTTTCCACTGGCACTGCTTCAAAGAGCGGTTTCAATTACAATATCAATAATAAATTAAATCAAATGTAATCCAACAATTAAGATCTCAATCTAGATATGACAACAATTAATTATATGCAAATAAATGAACACGATTAAAATTTTAATTGCAAATCAACGACTAGAAGTGTTAATCAGTGACAGGAAACATAACTGCACTGACTGGCATTTAAAATTAATTCTATTAGATTTGCAGTCAAGGAAATTATACATTTTAATTTAAAAAAAAATATTTAATTACTCTACATTCTCATTCAATATCGTTCACGATTCCAAGAAATTCATCAGGAAATGTCTAACGACTTGTGCACATCACCTAGTTAATAAAACGCATTCGCTATTTACGGTAAGTGCAGAGCTACAAATTTCTTTGATAAATGAAATCAGATGAAAATCAAAACACATCACATGAGTGGAAATCTTAGATAAGAAATTGTAAGTTTTTTTAACGACTACCTGCAGTTCTCAACTTGCTGGACATGCGAGCAAAACTTATCTCAATGTTGAAATCTTAATGTCCAAACATCACATCTATTTATGTTTGTAAATATGAAATCTTCTTCTTTTTTCACTTAATTAAATTCTTCGCACAATCTTCCTGTTCTGCTTTCTTTCTTTTCTCATTTATATTGTATGATACACTTTTGGATTGTAGATTATAGTGCTTTTTGTTGCAAGCAAGCATTCGTTAAATGAAATGAGCTATTATTACCATTTTGAATGTTCATCTTTTTCAATCTCTTTTCATGAGCTGTTGATTTGATTATGAAAATGTCTTATTATTTAGTCTGGAAAGCGTTTGTAATTGACTTATTTTTGTTAATAAGCTCTTAATGCGATAATTTTGGAGAAAATATCAGATGCGTATGGTGTATGGCACTGGTTATAAACTAATAACTTGATGCATGGAAATTATAAATTGTTGAAAATTTTGATCCTTGAATGAAGATTTAAATTTTAAGAACTCAAAGTCAAACATTTAAAATTGAATTATTACATAGTTGCACACCCCTTTACTATGTTTTCATTGTTCCTACTAAGGTAGCTAAACATCATCTTACAATACTAAACTCGATCAATTATAAATCAGTTTTGTCTTTTCAAATATCCAATGAATTCATAACTTTCTGTAACCTACACCTCAATTCCACATTTTACTTTTAATATGATACATAATCATAAAAATGGATCTTCAAACAAAGCTGATTAGCCGCTAATTAATTTAAACCAAAAGAAACATTTAACATTTAAGTTTTACTCCACTAAACTAATTTCCTTTATGCTTCAAACACAATTACAATACAGATTTGACCAATGATGCTTTAAACACTTATGTTAAAGTTGTGTTGGACTAATTAATTGCTGAAATTCAGCATTTGCAACTGAAGAAAATGAAAATTTTGTGAATTTATCCTCTCATTATCTTTTTATATAAAATATATATGTAAAATTTATATTTGAAGCAGGGCATAGCAATTGAAGTGGAAATGAAGAACCGCTGCTGACATAGTTTTATTTGACTCGATGAATTTCCCCACGAAAAAAAAAAATATATGTAATTCGGTGATGTGTGGCTTATGAACGCGTGTGTGCATAAAAAATAAATGTTGAAGAAGAAATTTTTTTAGCTACTATAAAAACGGTAAAAGCACTTGCTTATAAGCTTCTACCATAATTCACTGAATGGCTAAATTACTTAGTTTTCATAAGAAAAAGTAAAAATATACATTCATAAATTTTATAATCATTGCATTTTCTTTTCATCATTCATACATTTTTTTGCAGATTAATTATTTCATACACATGTTGGCTGGATATGAGTGTTAGACGCCGACCTCATTATTAGCAGCTTTATCTGTGCTGCTGTTGCTGTAAGAGCGAGAGAGAGAGAGTGAGAAAACCGAGAGAATCTTTCTTAAGAAGAATGCTTAATAGTCTGGAATAATTGGCCTGCGTGAGCATGTTGAGAAGTCTGTACGATTGTTGGTGAACAGAAGAAGCGGCAACGTGCTGAATTAGAGATTACTTTTTAAGAAAATTATTGAGTCATTAAGCAATGTGGTTATCGGATATGTTCATTATTGCTTCTTATTCGATAGGAAAAATGAATGAATACGCAAAAATGAAGGTTTGATTTCGCAGAATGTTGCGTATTGAGAAGAATTTGTAATTGAAATACTTGCTGAGTGAATGATTGAATGGATGTTTGAAGGCAGATGAAATGATGTGGATGTTACGATTCAATCATTTTTTACTGATCTTTCTTAATGAAGCATATAATTAAATAGGTAAGTTAACATTTTGGTGAAGATTTCAAAGAATTGAAGAAGTAAAAGGTTTTGAAAAGATTTTGACGTGTTTTGATTAGTTTTGCAAGCTGTTGAACTTGAAACAAGCATTCTTGAGTCAGCATATTTTCAACCTCTAAAGTTTTAACGTAGAATAGAAATTTAGAAAACTGATTTTCCAGATTATCAAAAACAATTGTTGAGTTGACAGAGGAACCAACTTCAAGGATGTTTATCATTTATTTGTACAACCTTAAATTCGTAAGTTTTGAAGTATAACTTAGTAATAATGCAATTTTCAGACTTTCCAAACTTAAAACAAGCAATTTGTAGTGAGCCAAAGTAAATAGAACAAGAATTTTACTTCAAGACGACTTTAATTAAAAGAACTGTAGAACTTTCTTAGTAAATCTAATCAGTCTTACATTTCCTATAAAATTACAACATCTGTCACACAACAAACTTATCTTTACGACACACTTGAAGAGCATTAAGAGAAAAAGCGAAATTTTTCAATTTTAAATTCTTTCAACTTATTTTCCACATATATCAGATCTAAAACTTACTATACATGTAGCATAGATGTTTTCAATTAATTATAAAACCTTAACTCAAAACCTTCTGTGTGTAACTTTCTTTCGAGACATAATGCTTGCACATAATGTAATTATCCAGACACAATTTGTAGTTCCGATGTGAAATTTATTGTTTTGCTCTGATTTTATTTTAATTTCTATTCAATAAATAAAATATGCATTTAAATCAATTATTAAAGCTAGTCTATAATTTTAAATTTTCTCATCAAGTAAATTAAGTTAAAATTAAAACAAGTAAAGCATAAAAATTCTGTGACGATCTTCGTTATCATAAAAATACGAAAAAACGAGTAATTTTTACGATCCTCATTATTTATTAAAAAGCTTACAATGTTTCTCATTATGAACGTCATGAACAAAGCTTATCATTTATGTTTATTGAATGTGGTACTTATGACATTAAGAATAATTATTAAAAAATTTCAATTTTTTATCTTCAACAGGAGAAATTATTTTATGATGATGAAATTTATTATTTTATATCTGCAAAATATCTTATATAACCAGTTCTTTACTGGATTATTATTAATGATTAATTTTTTAACTGCCTGTTTACCTTACAATTTTCGACTGGATGTGGGAAAAGATATTTGCATTTTTGTTATGTCGCTGATCATATGTGACTCATTTTTAAAGAAATTCCAAATTAATTCTCAAATTTTAGTGCTGTCATAATTTGTTAATGATGTCATGAACAAATAGTGACAAAATTTCATTTCATTGAATACTTTTGTGAGTCATTCTATTGAAATTTTGGATGGAATGTTTGACAATGTAAGCTGAACAATATGCAGCTCAATTTAATATCAGCAAAACCTAGTCTAGCTAATAATTAATTATAACTTCCTATAACTTAATATCTGAGTTCTTTTTCTCTATCAAAAATGCGTAATCTGTTTAAAAATTCATGTAAATTGAGAACCTTTTAAATTTGTATTTAATATCTACACAAATAATTTCCCTGTTGTTAAAAACTAGAAACTTTTTTCCTACTTTTCTTTCTAGCTCATAATATAAAAATTAAAATTAAAACTTCACCACAAACCATAAATTCTTATTATTTTCTTACAAAAATTTCCATTTCTCTGCTGATAAGCCACTATTTTACATTTAGACACATTCAAAAAATCGTAAAATAAATTTTTAATTACGAGAGCTCAAGAAGATTAATTTCATACACGCATAAAGTTTACAAGCTGAAATTTAATTCCTTTAAGCAATTTTAATTCGCGCTTTATCTTAAATTGCAAAATATGGGATTATAATAATTTAGTATGGCTATAACAAGCTTCTTAAATTATGAGCATAAGCATTTTTTAACGATTGAAATTTCTTTGATCTTCCTGAAGAACATAAAGTTTTATGTTCCATTTCTTCTGTTTCTTTCTTTTGCTTTGTGTTGAAATGTTAATTATGATTATATCTGGTATGAAATGAGAAATCCCAAGTGATTCACACTATTCTACAGCCTGGTTATTGTTAAAAGTTTACTAGCTTTTGCAAAATTCAAGGCTAAAACATTTTTGTTCCAACTTAGTCTAACCCAAGCAATAATTATGCTCCCTACATGCTTTCTATCACAAAACATAATCAGAAAGCATAAAAAATATTTATTTTAGTTCCAAGAAATTCAGTTTCCAATAAAACTTATCGATAAGATCATTTTTATCAATTAGGATGTGAAGAAATTTCGCTTATTTTATTATAGACATTAAAAATTCTCTTGTTAATTTCAAGCAAGACAGTTTCAATGTGACAATCACGGAGAGAGAAAAAAAAAAGAAATATGAAATGAGCAAAAAGAAAAGATGTCAACATTCTACATACAGTTAATTACGGTTAGTGCTCTTTCTTCTGCCCACTAATTTGCAATTTCTAGCGTTTTATTTCTGTCTTCTCGTTTCTTTTCTTAAAAACTGGCTTCATTTCTGAGAAGAAATCGAAAGTTGATTGGAGAGTTTTTCTTTTTATTTTATTTTCTTTCTTTTATGTTGATTAAAATGTTGAATTACGATTGGGATAATCAATGAAAGAATTTAATGAATGTTGACTTGACACTGTTGGAGTGAGTTTTAACAGTTGGGGGGTTTTAGTGAATTGAATGAAAAGGAGCTAGTTTTGGATTCTTAATTTGGTTTGTTTTAGATAAAATGATGGATTATGATGTGGAATTTGAAAGGTTATTAAGGTAGAATAAGATCTCTCAATTTAATTTGATAGATTGTTGCGTCATTAACTTAAACAGGCTCTTTATTTGGATAAATACTCAGTTGGCTCTGCCTGCTACTCTTAACTTAATTTCTAATGATGAAATCTCAATGGCAAAATCAAAATCATTAACTCTAAAGTTTCATTTCCTTTATAATTTTGAAAAAGTCAACTTACCTTAAAATTTAATGTTATAACTAATGTGATGACAATAATGTCCCAAAGTCTCGTCGTTGGAGCCTTCCTTGAGCTCCACATTTTTGATGGGAGCTTCAATGTTTCTCGCGGGTCGACGAAATCTGTAAAAAGAAAGAATAGAAAATTATTTTTTATAGCTTTTGAGATTCACAATAGATGTATAAATATCAAATGTAATTTACAAGTAAGCATATGGAATATGAAGTAGATATATGGTAAGGTCATTATGATGAGCAAAGAGAACTGTAAACAATTTTATTTTCTGTATTCACTAAGATTAGTCATGTTGTTGATATTGTCATTTTATTAGGAACGTAAGGTGAATGGCGGAGGTCAGAAAAGGTCTGAAATCGATAGGCGGATCGGTATTCACTTGGGAATGAAGCTTTTTAATTAAATTTATTTCTTCTGGAATGTTTGTGGTATTAGAAATGGAAATTATAGCTTTTCATGTGGGGATTTGCTGGATTGATCATTCAAATGATTTAAACCCAATTTTAGTTTTTTTCTTGAATTGAAATGAAGGATAATTATTGAATTTGTAGACTACGAACTCAAAGTTTAGCTCAATCATTTGAGTTGAATCTGATTTGAAATCAGTTGTTGATTGATTAATCATTTAAACACTAAACCGTGGATCTGACAATCAATTCTATCATGCTTCAAATTTTTCAATCAGCTCCCATGACACATTAATTACATTTTCATGCTTAAAATGTAAATAATTGTGAAACATTATAAAGATTTCCTCAATAAAAAACAAATTTATTGAAAATGAAAAATTTCACAGTTCATCAAAATTCATTAAAGTATTTAAAATTCGATGGAATTTGATTCTTGTGTTATTGCTTTTCCATAGTAAATTTTCAAGACAAGACAAGACAAGAGAAATAAAAAGAAATATTTGTTTAATTGTAAATATTTGACGTGAAATTTCATTTCTCTACGTTAATTATTGAATTCCTCAGCGATTCAATTTGTGTCAAATTACGAAAGCGCATAGCAATGATCAACTAGAAGAATATTAATTGTTAAGCCTGACTCAAAATCCCATTAGAATTGTTCATGTCTGACGAGATATTCCCATTCACAAAATTAACCGATTGACTTCCTCATCGTCTTGATATTGTCATCATAAACATAAAATCGTGTTTTGTGTCACTATAACTGCTTAATTGTATATTTTTCTTCTAATTCTGTCACAACAGTGGTAAACAATCATCCTCTTCAGTTTACTTGAATAACCCATTATTACAATGTATTTTAATTCAATTGTAATAATGTTTAATGTATCTAAAAAGATTATTCAGAAGCGTAAAAGAGTCAAAAGAAGCCGATGATGATGAGAATTTCTTTGAATGCTGGCACGATATGAATAGTAAAGAAAGAAAAGCATTTTAGCTCGTTTTTTGAGAGAGTTGTGTTGTTTAATGCTCAGAGTGACTCAGTGGCTGGATGTTTGATTTTGAGATTATAAGATTTTGAAAATTTAAAGACAACTGAACTTATTTTCTTAATAAGTTTGATCAGCTCTAATCCTTTGGCGCAAAAAAGTCTGGTTTAACGACTTTTTGCCAAAAAGAATGTGCGCATTTAACCCCTTCATCTATGACTTTACCACTTATTCTGCTGTCTCATTCATTCTTTCTCACATTTTTTCATGAATGAATTTTTGTTGTTATTTTGTTTATTTTTTTGATGTAACACGAATAATGCACAATGATTCAGAATCGAAAAAAATGTTCAAAAATTCAAAAATTTCATGTTAATTAAACTATGTCCTTTAAATGCCAGATTAAAGATCTTAACTTGAGGCATATCCTATGAAAATATCTCGTCCCAATTTGATGTCTAACTCCAGAAATCATTAATTTAATCTCACCCAAAATTTGTTTACAATTTGTGTATGAAAAAAAAAATATGATTTTTTCTACTTTAAGTTGTTATTTGGATGTCTTGGAAGCAGTTACTAGCTAATTTAAGCTTAGCTTTACATACTAAATCAACCAACTCAATAGAAATCTGCGTATTAAGCCTTAAAAATGGAATTGAAATCTGAGTATTTTTACACTACTTAAACTATTCATAAGTTAAAAAGTCTTCCAAAGACCTCTCTGAAACCTATATAAATCCATTAATTAAGTTAAAATCTATCTCCCATATTACTGAGGACATGCCGTTTGATGCCGTTTTCGAGATATTTGCGATCAAAGTTTACATAAATTTTCATACAAAATTTGATCATGCACAATATTTTTTGATAAACTTTTACAAACTTTTGGTAAAAAATCATGTTTATCCTTTATATTAAGGACTAATTTTTTGAGCAATGAACGAAAACATTATGTAGATGATGCTAAAAGATTCAAATCAAGAGAAATTAACAAAAACTTTCAATTTTCTAATGTGTTGGAAAAATATTGTGCACAAGGAATTTTTGAACATTTTTTCCGAATCTGAATCATTGTGTAATGTTGCTCTTGAATTGTTGGTTCGCGGGCATACTACCTAACCTCTATAGTAACTTTCCGATCTCTTCTTTAACGATTCACTATAATAGATGCTACACATGTCAGGTCTTTTGTATTCAAATATTCTTTTTATAATTTAAATATATGAAGACGTGATTTATTCAGGTGATTAAGTTTGATGAGAATTTTTATTTCCTTAAGAATTGACTGTACTAATTACATTTCACATGATCATTATTCCTACAAAGTTATCTTTATCTTTTAAGAAACATGCACTAATTATTATGATAATGAAGAAAAATTGTGTTCTGGAAAATATGAACAAAAAAAAATTTGAATGGCAAATTTTGCCCGAGTTTTGTGTCAAAAATTTGACAACTATTAAAATGCGTGGGAACATGTTTAATGCTGAAAGTGATTTTTAATGGTTTTAGGGAGAATTTTTATTCAAATTAGTTTTTTTTTTGGTAAAGGCAATTAAAAAATGTAAATAAGGCTTTGGGTGTGACTTGAATTTTTTAAAAGGTAAGGTAAATTTCTTTATAAAAATTGTTCGTGGAATTTGAAATTATGTTAACTTGTAAATGCTTAAAAAACTTTAGTTTCTTTAAGTTTGTAAATTTTTCAAATTTTAAAGAATATTAAATTAAATGTCAAACTAGAAACGGTCTTAAAAGTTGTTATTAGTCGTTCCTACATCAAGTAATTTGCTAGACATCATGCCAAGTGTTTAACTCGGTCATATTCTGGAGGTGGCAAATTGAAGTTAATATCTCGGAATGATAAATTATAAGTATAATATGGAATATGTGACCAAAAAATCTAATGCAGCACTAAGAATAGCTTAATTTTCGATATTCTAGATTCTATTTACTCATCAATCATTCAAATGTTTTATAACTTTGACTACTATTCAAATCAAAAGAATCAAAATATATCAAACAGATTTCAATTCTCCATACAAAACACATTTGTAAACAAGCAATAAACAAAAGACTTCAACGAGAGACAAAGAAACAAAACAAAAAAAAATCGAAATTACAACAATTTTGTTTACAGAAAATAAAGAGTCGATAATTTGTTAACTTGTATTTTTTATAGTAATTATGGAGCACAGAAAAATATTTTACATTCCATTATTCAAAATTTCATAAAAAATATTTTCCCTTATTTCATTTAATATTCAATATTGGATACATATCGTAATTATATTGTAACGAAAATGAGAATCCGTTAGATTTGCTTCGTATTTAATTCAAGACAACATTAATTTGTATCTTTTTATTTTTTCATAAACGAATGCACTCAATTTTTTTAAAGCTTTTGATTAAATTTCTTTATAATATTTAAGTAGCAAAGCAAATTGGATCGAGGAAGAATGAGAATAAAAAAGCCTGAATATAATTTTATTAAAAAAATTAATTGCATTAATTTGGAATTGAAATTTTTTTATTGAAATGAAATTAGCACGATTCGGTTGGAATTAAGTTTTTGATTTTGATAATCCTCTTTTAGAGAAGGAAGAGAGTTTGAAGTCTCAATAACAACAGGATCAGTGATGAAATGTAAAATTAGTCTTTAATCCTTAAACTATTAAACTTTCGCTAATCTCACAAAAACACTTTTATTCTAATTCACAATTCAAGCCGAAAACTTACAAAATATGCTTTGGAATCCAAGCAGCAACAATTGTAATCAAAGCTGTACTCAAGAATTTCAGCAACAACAAAAAACAAAGGAAATAAATAAAAATAAAAAACAAGAAATTCGAGCAGAAGAGATAATAAAACACGTATGAAACATAAAGTCTATTAAGATCAACAACGAACCATTGAAATGTCACTAGCCATACCTATTTGTATTTCTCGCGAAGCACTGGCAATGAGAGTGACATTAAATATTTACAATAAAATATGTGAAATAAAACTAAATAAAAGAAGAAAGAAAGAAAAATAATTTTCTCTTGTGCTTATAAGAGCAACATTTTTTGCACTTTCTTCTTCTATTTAATTAGCTTTAAATGGCTGACATACATTGAGCATATACGATGAGATGAATTTACTGTGAATTCATCAACACATTATAAGATGTGTCTCTGTTATGTCTTAGAAATGAACAATTATAATCGTCCATAAATGTGTAAATAATGAAAAATTGCATGTGATGAGATGGTCTCGTTGGTTGATTAATGCGAAAATGTTTGACTTTCCATTATTCATGGAAATTGAGACAGTTAAGAAATTAAGTTAATCATCAGTATTTAATCATTGTCATTATTGAAACATTGTATGTAATGTTATGCATGAATTTAATTATTCAGAATCGCTCATGATGAAAATCAACATTTAGGCAAGAAAGAAAAGACTGTCACTAATCATGATCAACATTCCATCATCAGCAATAAAAATAATTTATTCCTTTATTAATTCCATTTCAACATAAAATAATTCACAACGATTTTCTTCTTTTACTTTCGAGTGATAATTTCAAGTCCAATTTTCACGTGCTAAACTTTAAATCTCTCATCATACCAACACTTATACTCCATAAATTATTGTCTTCAGTCTCATGCCCTGAGAGAAATAAGAG